GGATAATGCCTAGTTCCCTCCCATATACCTGTTTTTAATTAGGGTTAAAATTTTCGGTATGTCGAATTCCCTCCTAATTATACATCAATTGCCTCCCAACGGCGGCGGACCTTGAGTGCTAATTACCACTATAAAGTCATAAAGAGTTGTTTAAATAATACAGCCTCACATCACATATTAATCTTAATATTATTCATATATTATAGACACCACAATAACAATAATAATTTTATCGGACTACCCTTCTATTGGTCAAATACAAGACAAACTAAAACTAATAAAGTTTTTCTGGATGATTGCATCAAAAAGCTAGACGCACACGAATTTCCAAACATTGAATTTGTTAAGCGTTAGGGTAGTGGGAAACCATTTTAAAATTAAATAAATAAACATTTCATAACTGATATGTGTATTATTTATGAAATTATTTTATCTTTAATTTACTGAAGTACTGAAGTGCACTATAAATATATATTTATTTTCGATAAATAAAATCGGTAAGTAGTCGTTAACTTAATTATCGGAGCTGATACGAACGGGAAGGTACTCGGCTAGTACCCGGGAGGGAATTCGACTATCTATATTTTAACCAAAACTACCTGCGGGAGGGAATTCGGCATCGCCGCGTCAACTTTACACCCGTACAGAGCCCTGCTCCAAACGTATACCTTTAATACTCGCTTTCGAATTTCTAATTTACAGCACAAAAGTGATATTTCTTTTTATTAAAAGCGCTAGTCCCTTATATCCTTCACAAGGATTCAATTTTTCCTGATTCAGCGTTAAACCAGTTTTGTTTTTAAAATTATGATTAACATCATTCGAGTTACTGTATTTTTGTTCAAAAGGCTAAATGAGAAATATTGATTTTTTTGTATCTAGCGTATTTATAATAGTGAATCGGAGGGTGTTAAAAAGGATAGTTATTTTCTTGTTGTAACGTTTGGTGATAAAGTGGTGGGGTAACCTTTCATACTTTTGAATTGACTGCTTGCAGAGCTGGACCGAAATCCAGAATGAAATAATGCAACGTCCTGGAGGCCAGGGCATCGCACCCTATTTGACCTACTTGCTCCCCACCAGCTTTTATGTATGACTTCATGCTGACGTAATTGGAAATGTAGGACAATTTCATTCTAAAATATCGGCTTGGTTAGATTCAGAATTGGTCTATAATACATGTATGTATGTATGTATGTACATATATATATATATGTATATTTGTATAAAACAGATTTCATTGGCAAATAATGAAAACACAATCCAAAATATTTGTTTGAAATGTTATTACATTTTGCCAACTGATGTGTATTCGATTTCTTATCAAAGGACTGGTCTTCTAGGAACTTACATGTTACCTACTACAATTGGCTTTGCATGTGCCCATGATCTATAGAATAGTGCACCACCATTTATTTTAGGTATATGAATCATTTTTGAAAATTGATGTTTGTAAACAATATAAATGGAGTAGTATTTATCTTAAGACAATCAAATCTCCTGATTGGATTTAACGATTTTAACAAGAAATGTTACAATCCGCGTGCACTATTCCCTCATTCAAGTTCAAATTTGACCACCATTTGACGGACAATACAACAATAGAAAGAAAACTACCCTAACATTAATTAAAACCAACTAATCAGTTGCAAGAAGGTCAAATGTCAATAAAAATAGCAAAAGATAAAAACCCAGATAATTAATTATGTTAGAGGTAACAGGAATAGAGAAATGATTATGTTCACAAGAAAATACAAGTGGAACAAATACTCTCCATTCGGGTTTGAGGGCAGCAACTCAAGATACAAATCAATACGACTTAACTGTTTCTTCTTCGAGTCAGTTACAGTTTTTTCTTTGAAAGTTTGCATAACACATGCTTTTGCACCTATACATAAATACGTTGTCAAAATTTTGTATGCGACGCCACTGCTGAAGCAGCTATAAACAGCTAATTGAAATTGCTTCTACACCAGTGCCACATTGTACCGATATCAATGTAAGAAAGTAACAGAGTCAGAGTAGTAAATAATTATTTATTAGTTTATGCAAATTCCTTATTGGCGATGGATGTATACATGTAAGCACTTTTTTAGAAAAGTAAGAATAAATGAATTCAACGCTGGTTGAAACATTAAAAAGTAACTCTTTTATTCTTCTTCAATTCTTAGTGTAAATGTTTTATAATTATCCAACCGCAGAATGATTAGTGGTAGCAGTAGCAGTAGCAGTAACAGTAGCAAAGTAGTAGCAGTAGCAGTAGCAGTAGCAGCAGAAGTAGCACTAGTAGTATATTGTATAACATGTACTACCAGCATTTTTCGGAAGTAATTGGGTATAACTAAGAATACATTGAAAAAGAACCGTACGAACTCTTTACAAACCTTACCGTAGCTACGATTTCAATAAACAAGTTATTTCAATTTTAGGATTATGCAGTGTTAGGTTTAGAAGGTCACTGCTATTTTCAACAGAAAAAATTTGAAAAAGCAAACGAAAATTACGAACGAGTCTTACAGTTATTTAACCGTCCAGAAGATGTTCACTTAATTTACATTAATTCGTCAATGGCTTATAAAGCACTTGGTAATGACACCTCTGCTCTAAAAATGATTCTTTTGCCATGCAAATTGAGGTTTATATATACTTGCACGTATTTTTCTTTTCAAAAACTTATAAATGTCGTATTATTTTTTAGTCCTTCAGCTTACACTTGGCTTATGGCTGGACTTCATTATTTTCATAAATACGATTTCCTTAGCGCTGAAGAGTGTTTTACTCAAGCTAACATTTACGATAATAATTTAGCTGAAATTTGGGCATATTTAACACTGGTTAATTTACATCTTGGCAGAATTATAGAAGCAGATTTGTGCTATGCACAAACTATTAAGGTAAACTACGTTATCAATTGTCCGTCATATATTAAAAACTGTTTATTTTTCTTTTGTTGTATAACTACAACATATAAAGAACTAACTGGTGCATTTCCGCTTTGCGTGGTAATTTTTTTATAATACTCAATCTTACTGTCTCATTTAAAGAAAACAGATATAAGCATAACAAATAGNGGTGAATTTTTAATAAAATTACCTTTTTTATCTGATTTAATTCAGAAATGCATTCCTTTCAACATCTAAACACCAACAAAAGAGAAGAAATTAATATACAAATTATGTTTTAAAAAATATTTCTGCAAGTACTTAATCAGTGCAACCACAATTATGGTCATATTCAAAATACTTGTATAAACTATGTAGGTAGTAGCTGTTACATGTTGAAATTTATCCATAGAACACACAAAAAATTTTATGAAAATATATTGTAAACACGAGTATATACTCATCACATGATGATGTCACTGTGTGGCGAAACAATATTATCGTGTTTATAATATATTTTCATGAAACTTTTTGTGTTTTATTTTAATAAATGCTTGTATATTTTTAAATCAACTTCCGATACTTTTAAGGTACTTTTGAGGACAGCGAACAGAATTCCTTCTTGAACTATCTTAGTAAAGTGGGATTGTATCAAGTCTATTTTAAATCAATTACCAAGTCTACTTCTCTGATTATAAAGAACAAATTTCCTTTCAGAGGAGAAGCCAATTTTGGAAACAAATTCTTTTTGGTAAATCTTCAAAAACTTGCAGAAAGGGCTTAAGTTAATTTTTGTAACTGTTTGATGGAATTTGATACTATAACTATGATAGTTTGATTTTTAAATTTATAATTACTTAATTACCAATATTACTCTTGATAGTAATTTAAATAAGGCTGCTTGCAAATTTCACACAAAATGGTGCTGTCATATTAAGTTTTTTTAAACTATCAACTTAAAAAATTAAAACTTAAATCTGTTTTGGCGTTTACTAGTGAGAAATAAAACACACAATTAACTATAAAGATATAATTTTATAAAATACTCGCTCAGGTTGACAGGTTGGTTACGGATTTAGTTATTTGTCGTAGAACTGTAGAGGAACTAACTCTACTCTTGAAGATTAAGTATTAGCAAAATTTAAAAGGAGGAGTTAATTGTTAAAAAGAAAAAAATTGGCAGTTATAGGGACTTCCGATAGAAGTGAAAACTTAAAACTTTTAGTATTAAAATTTGAAATTTCACAATGTTTGAATAAAAATTATCAACATCAATCTGGTTTTCACATCTATTGACACTCACAGGGACTGCCGATAGAAGTGAAAACTTAGAACTTTTAGTATTAAAATTTGAAATTTCACAGTGTTTGAATAAAAATTATCAACATGATTCTGTTATCAATCATATGCATGTTTATATGGTTTTTTATTATTCAAATATTTACATAAATTTCAATGTACTTGATTTTTAACATTGTTTGCATCATTGTCATCATTAATTTCAACAATTCTCTGTATAGATACAGATATACTCAGATATATACTGCTACAAGCATGTCGGTGACGCGAACGCACTAGATTTCACCCATCCACAAAGCGTCTAACGCCTACAGCACACGGCCGCTGCGCGTGCGCCAGTCGTGAGCATGTCGGTTACGCGAACGCACTAGATTTCACCCATCCAAAAAGCGTCTAATGCCTACAGCACACGGCCGCTGCGCGTGCGCCAGTCGTGAGCATGTCGGTTACGCGAACGTGGTAGGCGTTGT